CAGTACTCTACACTCAGAAAAAAGGTACAAAAGCTGTTACTGGGGTGGTACCTTTTCAAAAGTTACTAATATATACACTTTAGGTACAAAGTTGAAAGTTGACCATTTGAAAACAGCTTTTGTACCTTTTTTTCTGAGAGAGTTTACTATTTTACTATATTTACTAGTATATTTATACATTTTAAATGTTGTTAATTGTTCATGATATATATATATATATATATATATATATATATATACATATTTCATGCATTTCTTTAATACTTGTTTTCAATATATCAGATATCCCGATATATGTTTTTAAGCTGTAAATAGTGAGCTAGTGGACTTCATAGAAACTCGATGTAAAATAAGTCTCCTACAGCTCTTTTATTTGATGTTGTGTATTAGGATGTGTTTTGTGGGCAGTGTCAGTGATCTGTTACTGGAACAGCTGACAGAATGCAGGGTTTCTCTGCCTGGGTCATCAAAATGCATGAACTATCACTTTAAAGAAAAGAACATTTTCTTATCCATCGTTTGTATAATTTCTTTGGAGCACAAAAGGAGTTTTGAATAATCTATCAGTTGCTCTTTTCTATTCAGTTCCAGTGAATGAAGACTGAAGCTTCAAAAAGGGCACGAAAGCAGCACAACAGTGTCGTGAATCACTAAGATCGCTTCATATCAATACATCTGGAAATACCCCAGAATGATGGCTGGTGCTGTGAAGCTGTATCTCCTCGTTCACTCACCTGTGTGTGTTAAACCTGAGCAGACCGAGAAACACTCTCGATGTCCCCAGCAATCCTGCTCAGTTACAGATCTCTGTTGATAGTCAAATCATTTGGGATATTTCTCTGGTTGTAGTGCTGTTAGAGTTAACCTGTGTCACGCTGGTGCTGCTGGAGATCTGGATTGAGGAGAATGAAAGTGTCTGGTCATCCTGACACGAGTGAATCTCATGCTTACACGTGCCGCAGATCAGCTGCTTTGGTCCGAGCCTTGGCTTTATTGCCAAGCAAACCCGTGGACCCAGACTGAGGAGACACAGATGAATATAATCCTGGGAAAAACTCAACTCCGTTAGGAAACAAAGCTGCAGGGACATATCATACAAGAACAACATCTACACGGGAGCATGACCTTCCCGAGACTGAACCGAATAAGAAGGTTTCAGTAGGAACTCTAGTGTATTTGAAACACGATTCACTTGTGTTCATGAAGAGGGAAGTCTTCAAGCACACTAAACTAAACTAAACGGAGCACTGTTGCGTTTCACATCTGATATTCTGAGCTACTGGAATAGTTGGTCAGTTGTGATTTAGTGAAAAACCCGCAGGCCATCCCAGATCAGGATGAGTTTGTGTCTTCATCAGGTTTGGAGAAATGTAGCACTGCATCAGTGTCTCAGCAATGGATGCTCTGCAGTGAATGGGTGCCGTCAGAATGAGAGCTGATAAAAACATCACAATAATCCACAGCACTCCAATCCATCAGTTAACATCTGGAGAAGACACAAGCTGAAACACATCCAGCATTAACACGCTTCTAACTAAAGCACGAGTCCATAAAGTCCAGTGAGTCAGTGTTCTGGAGGCACTGTTGCGTTTCACATCTGATATTCTGAGCTACTGGAATAGTTGGTCAGTTGTGATTTAGTGAAAAACCCGCAGGCCATCCCAGATCAGGATGAGTTTGTGTCTTCATCAGGTTTGGAGAAATGTAGCACTGCATCAGTGTCTCAGCAATGGATGCTCTGCAGTGAATGGGTGCCGTCAGAATGAGAGCTGATAAAAACATCACAATAATCCACAGCACTCCAATCCATCAGTTAACATCTGGAGAAGACACAAGCTGAAACACATCCAGCATTAACACGCTTCTAACTAAAGCACGAGTCCATAAAGTCCGGTGAGTCAGTGTTCTGGAGTGAATCCGGAGAGAAATCTGCACAGATCAAGCAGCGTTTAAACAGCTCTAAACTAATAAGTGGGTTGCAAATAAATTTGTAAAAGTACATTATTATTCTTTTTTGTAGAATATTTCTTGTATTCATTCAATGAATTCAAGATCATAAAAACTGCATGCATACTTATAGAAAGATGAGCAATACATTGAAAATAGTTTTAAAGGTGAGCGTGTTACCGCAGAGCGCCAGCTTCATGAAAGTGTCTCATGTCTCCTGCACTTTTGTGATTTACTTGAGAAAGTAAATCAGTCATTTGTGTTCAACAATTTAAAAAATTGTATACATTATTAAGTTATAAAATGTATTAATATATTGTATGGTTGTTATTAATGATACATATATATATATATATATATATACTGTATATATAAATTAGATATATATTTAAAATGTTGGTAACACTTTAGGACCTGAGTTGACCTTGAGTTTAAGTTTATCAGCATGCATATTACTAGCATATTGGCTGTTTATTAGTACTTATGAAGCACATATTAATGTCTTATTCTGCATGATTATATTTTAGATCCCTTAATCCTCCCCTCTAAAATAAAGTGTGATCCAAATGTGTTAAACAACAGTACGTCTTGTACAGCTTGGTAGTTTATTTGTTCATGTAATTTTAATCTTTTAAAAAACACGGGCTGCAGTGATTGATCTGAAGTTGTTGTTATGTAATGACAGCTTTAGTAATAACTCCGTGTGCCGTCGTCAGGTTAATGTGAGCGGGAAATGAAGATGGCCACTCATCTTCTGCTCTGTTTACATGGACGTTCTGCTCTCAGTAATTACTTCAGAATGAAACGGCTTCATGAAGACAAACACAATCTCCTGTGGGATCCAGTCTTAGTTTGGCAGAGTATTCTTTATAGTGTTGATCTGACTCTCTCACACACACACATACTGTATGTATGTACAGTGGGTATTAACTTAAATGATTTTAGCAAATGGCTGCAATATAACAAATAGTGAAAAATTTAAGGGGGTCTGAATACTTTCCGTACCCACTGTATATATATATATAACCCGAGGGTTTGTTGATGTGTATCATGCATGACATGCGGTCACACGCCCATGAGACGACTCTACAGCGCTCATGTAACTGAATGATACACACTCTACACTGTTATTAAGAAGATTCATGTAATTACAGGCTGAACCGCTGCGGCAAACACACGCGCGCTCTCATGCAGGCTGTGCATTCACCACTTCACCTTTCTGATCTCCAGCGAGGACCAGCGGCAGCTCCGTGGCCTTTACCAGACTCATTTCTGGCTAGAGAGCGAGCTCTGAACAGTGCTTCTCAAAGACCCTCACTCTCAGGACAGGACTCAGTGCTAAGATATTTGTTTTCTGATGTAACCGTGACAAAATCTGCTTGTTTTCAACAATATATATCAAATTAATTCAACTTGATAATTAATTTCATATGTAAAATAATTAGCCTCGGTTCATTTTGTGACAACAGAAGTTGTTCTGTATTCCAGAACTGCATGTTCTTCAGTAAAAACAATTGGTATTGGGGTTATTTTTAGCATTTTAATTTGATAATATTTTATTCTTATTTATTTATTATTATATTTTACTAAGAGTGTTTTATTTTTCATTTAAATGCGTTAAAAAGTCATCATCCAGCCTCCTTGAAAGATGGATAGCTGAGGGTCCCTGGTTAAGAACCGCTGTTTTAAACATCATTTTTTATATTGCATTTCAACAGCACAGCACACAACACAATTGTATTTAATATAGGCAAAATAGGCTGGCAGCTGCAGGGAATCGGATGCATGGCTACATCTGTTGGATGTAGGTAGAGTAGGTTTTCCTTGTGCACCTGTTTTGCAAAAAACGTGATTGCTCTTTATTTTACAGCATGTGTACTTATTTACTTACAGTGTCTAAGAAAGTACTGGGTAGTATAAGGTAACTACATGGGTTAAGGTAAGGTTTACAGGTAGGTTCAGGGTACCTAGTTATTGTAGTAACTGTAATAACTACATAGTATGTACATGCAGAACAGGACTGTAAAATAAAGAGCTAACAAACACAAATGATTTAATGTGTCATACATTAGTTTTCTCATTAACGTTGCACATGACACTGTTTCGCTCGTGGCCGAGAGCTCATTCTGGATGAACTTTGATGGGAATTGTATTTCCCCACACAGAGACTGACGGCACATGCTGTTGTTAAATGTCTGATCTGGGTTTTATGTAAAAGAGCCACGAGGAGGGTCTTCAGCTGAGATCGTGCGTGTTGTAAGTATCTGAGGGTCAGTAGTTTGTTTGTCGTGTTCACTTCAGCTCGGCGCTTCGGTCCCGTCTCTTTCTTCTCTCTCCGAGGGTTTAGTTTTTTTGACTTGGCGCAGACTTCAAAGTGAGAAGGCCGCTGAAGTTGTTTTTTTGTTCGGCTCTTATTAGCATGTCAATGACGCAGAGCTTTTGACAGCCAGGTGTGCCGTAGAAGAAAGAGGCTCCACACACACACACACTCCCACACACACACACACACTCTCTCACACACACACACACTCCCACACACACACACACACTCTCTCACACACACACACACTCCCACACACACACACACACTCTCTCACACACACACACACTCCCACACACACACACACAC